GAACCTCCACTTTCGTCGCCCGACCCTCGATATGAAAAGCCTTATACACATCGAGCCGAGCCTCCGCATGGACCCATAACTCGTACAAGCGATGAGGTGAGCTCTGACCAACTGAAGGATGAGACGTTGAGGGATGGGAATGACGGTTTACCTCCTCCGACCTCAGCAAAGCCATTTGCCCTTGCAATGCGGCCAACTCCGCCTCCAATTCCCTGACACGCCCTTCAAATCCCATGATTCGATGACCGAAGTTTTCCCTCTCCCTCGTAAGTTCCGACCTGGATAGGAATAGGGCATCCTCCAAAGAGACCGTCTCAGAAATGGCAGCGGCCAGCTTATCGGTACTGGCGTTCAACTCGCCCTTAAGTCCGTTGACCTCCACTGCCTTAGCATCTAACTCAGTGGTCAAGCTGGCCACCTTCAGCTGTAAATTGGCGTTCTCAATCATTACCCCCTGACTCAACTCAAGCTCGTCCTCCTTCGCCTTAAGAAGGGCCTCCAATTTGCTATTACGGGCGATAGCCCTCATAAGCTCCTCGTCCCTCTCCTTCAGCTCCTCTACCCTGCGCTCCAATTGGTCCTCCCGCTGCTTAAGTTCCTCGCGGAACACCTAGAACTCGGGATCCTGATGATAGATATCAGACATCGCCCGGTGCTTATCACGATACTGATGGTATTTTGACGACATCTTCTTATAGAGGCCCATCCTTCTCCATTCACGGCGCGCTCTCTCCACCTCCATGATGAGGGTCTGACAAAAGAGAGGAGCAGAGTTAAGAGTAAATACATCACATTGCCACACCAACCCCACGACATAAGGAAAAGAAGAAACATACCTACAAGGCCATACGGGTGACCCTCCGAGATAATTCCGCGTCACTCATCGTCCCAAGCGTCTCGCTTTCAAGAGCAGCGCATAAAGGAGCAAGGGCCGACGCAACCTTCTCGCTATTCAATAGCAAGTTGTAACTCCCCGAAATTACCACATGATGGTCGTATCCGTCCGCACTCACCTCCATATAGGTATGGCGACCCAAAAATTCATCGACGTCCTCCGGGGCGACATCTGAGCCCGATCTGTCCTCCTCGACACGAGGTCCTCCAACATTGGACGACGCGCTCCCTTCAGCGGAACGCACTGAATAAACTCCCAGGACAACTCTCTCCATTCGGGGAGACCTCCCCGACAAACTGGCGTCAGCCATAAACACGGGCACCGGGGCTGTCCAAGATGCCCCACTTCCGTCGGCCTCAATGGCCACTCCCTTTCCCAGCTCCAACCTTCTCCTTTTTCTCTCTAATGGCTCGTCACCATTAGAAGATTCATCAACAGGATGCGGGGCCGATGCCAACGAGGCCTTTTCCGTCATGACCTCAATCTGAGATGAGTCTCCCTGTTGAAGAAGTTGAGGACGACCTCCCCGAACAGACTTGCACAAAATGAATCGCGTGTCCGTGGTAGCAATGGATCGTCTGAAAGCAGGGACTGGCGCCCTTCACCTGGAAGCCCCCCGACCTGTCGTCACAGAGGGCCATACAGTTAGGCAGGGTCATACGACCTATGAGTTAGTAAGGCAGAAATTTACATGAAGAAACCCTGGGGCCATAATGTTGTATGAAGGCAGACCAAGTTCGAGTTTCCTTCGCTTGGGGCAGCAGGTTAGCGACCCAATTCCTGAGACCCACAATAGNGGCGACGTGCTCGGTCTTAATGAAAAAGTACTTGTTCCAAAATTTACGGCTCGACCGATCGTCCGTCCCGACCACCAGCCCTTTTGTACCATGAAGTCTCAAGTGCACCATGGTACCCCTAAGGAAACCAGGTGAAAATAAGTGCAAGAGATGATGAATGGAGATGTCGCATTCTGCCAATTCCGTGTACTTGGTCAGCAGCAGAAGCACCTTGAGTGTGTACGGCGAAAGCTAAGCCGGGCAAACATGATAGAATTTGCAGAATTCGTCCGCTAGAGGGAAGAGAGGAAGGCTGTAGCCGATCACAAAGGGATATTCATAGAAGGCACAATACCCAGGCATGTGAACGTCAATGTAATCCCCCTCCGCCAGAGTCATCTCTACGTGGGCAGGGATACTATATTTTATGCGGAGGGCATCAAGGTGAGTTTGACTCGTCTCAGAGAGTACAGGGTTCGGAGTAAGGGGTGGGTCTTTAAGGAAGTCACTCTGAGACAGGGGATGCCTCGGTAGTAGCGCCTCCACTGTGAGAAGACTATCACCCTCTTCTATCTCCACCTCTCCACTGCTAAAAAGAGGTGTTGCGTTCGATGGAGCGGCCTCAGGAACCTCCTCATCAGTGCAACGAGACCTTGGCATGATTTTGTTTAAGAAGGGGTAGTTACACACATGGAGTAAAAGAGAAGGAAATTTCCAGCCAGGAACGGAAACAAAGAAATGTAAAAGCAGAAGAAGGAGACTGAAGAATTATCAAGAATGGCCAAAGTGTTTCAAAGGAATCGAACCCTTCACCTATTTATAGGGTTGGGTGGCGCCAGAATCGAGGCGACAAGTTTCAAATTAGCACGGGAAACCAAGTGCCAAATTGTCAGTCTTTACCTCAAAATCTGCGTAATGATGATGCATGTGGAAGCTGATGTCACCCTGGGTGGCGTGTACTCTTCGATATTCTGACCAATATGACAACCACCTCTCACTGGCCACGTCATAATATCCCGACGAGTCAAATTCCTCCTAAGGGAGGCATCGAGTCCGCTCATCGAGGACACATCCAGTTGCGACCTCGATGAGTGAAGGGACTAACTGTATGGGTCCGAATTTGATCTACCACGACCTATGGTGGGTACGGCAAATGACCAAAAACCTATGAGTCGACAAAGGTATACGACCCTGTGAAGGGAGGAGAGATGCCACCGCATCGGTAGTAGATTCGACATGTTAGGTGACCTAGGGAATATTCATTAAATACTTCTTAATTTGTCATCCATATGATTATGAGAAAACCCCTCAGTATATAAGAAGGGTGAAAGTCTTGTAAAAGGGGGATTTCTGGTAGAAAGAACCACTGGCCTTGAACTATTATCATCTCTCTACTATTATCATCTCTCTACTATTATCATCTCTCTACTATTGTCATTCTAGAGTTTATTATCTTCAGCTACGATTTACCTCTTCATCTTTGATTGATTTGCTTAAAAAAAGTTCGAAATCTTTTGAGTCAAACACTCACATGTCTAATATTGTTTTAGATCCGATATGTACTATTTTTAACTATTTATTATCCATTTCACCTGGTTTCAATTCAAAATGGTCAACATTGCTGTTACTTTTTTGTTGTTTGAATCCAGATACACACTTGCCAAAATATCCTTAGGAATGATGTTCTAAATATGCCTCAAACTTCAAAGATTATATTGCATGAGATTATATATTCAACAAAATTTTCCTTTACGTACCAACCCAACAAATTTACCACTAGATAGTGTGGACCAGGTTGGTTTGATTTTTATCAAAATCGAACCAAATCAATTATATCGGATTGGATTGGTTCAGTTTTGGCAGTTTTCTGGGTTTTTTGTTACATAAAATCTTACGTTGTTAAATTTTTGATAAATAAATATATGTTTAGTAACAATTGAAAAATTGACAAACATATTATCTATTAAATATTCTTATGAGAGAATCTACTTAGTAACACATGATAGTTATTTTTTTAGTCGTTTGATATTTTCGTTGATGTACACTTTCAAGGTTAACCGAATTTAGTAATTGAACATAAAAATAAATGTGATACTTAAATAATAATAACCATTTCAATTTCAAAAAAGATAAAAGAATTTAATAGATCTTGACATATGAATATGGAAGAACAAAGAGATTGACACATTTCAGTAACACTTGATAAGAAAGTGATCATACAACCCATTATTTAAGGTTAATAAATATGGAGCACTTCATATTTTATTAAATATTATATCCCGTAAGAGAATCTCAAATATTTCTAGACATTTTTTGTAAAGAAATTCTATATAAAATCTTAAAAGTAAAAAATAAAAATTATATATTTATATGTAAGTTTGGTTCGGATTTTTTAACTCAATACCAAACCAAATCAAATCAAACATAGTCGAGTTTTTTAATCAGTTTGGTTTGATTTTTTGGTTTGGTGTGATTTTCTGGTTCGATTTGTACACCCCTACTAGATAGTATACGTTTCCCTCTTTTATAAAATTTTATTTGACTGTTGAGCACTTCGAATGTAATTCTTTTCGGGGTTCCTGCGTGAACTTAATTGAGGTAGCCAATCCGAGGTAAATTTGTCGAAAGGTTGAAGTACCCTCCTTGGAATTTCTACTGGTCTATGAGTTTTTAGAGAAAAAGTGAAATATTCTTCACTTTAAAAAATATGATAAAAATCTGAAATCGTACACCACAGATAGCGCCTAGACTGCAATAAACAGCTATTTGGTACGTGAACAAAATTATTCCGAAATTATAGTCCTAAGATTATAATCTGTTGAAGGGCTCTGGCTATGGCGGAAATGACAGAACATTAGAGAGAAGAATGAAACGGAGGAGAAGAACAATTACTCCATTTTTTGAATATTGAAATGTACAACTCACTATTTACAGTAAAAACACTACTACTTATAGAGATTAACCACTAACTACTTCTTACTCCACTAAGTAGTTATAACTAACTATCTACTAACTAACTGTGCACTTAAATATATGGGACCCACAGTCCTCAATACTCCCCCTCGANGTGTGTGTGTGTTTAGTTCTCTTGTGAAAGATTAGATGTGCAGCAATTTGAATGGCAGTTTCGTTGTCATAATGCAATGGCACAGGTAGTTTGATATCCACTCCTAGTTCTCTGAATAGTCCAACTAGCCATACAATTTCAGCAATTGTGGCTGCCATACTTCTAAATTCTGCCTCAGCTGAGCTCCTAGACATTGTTCCTTGTTTTTTTTTGATTTCCAGGAGATCAGTGCACCACCAAATTTTACCACATATCCAGCAACTTATCTTTTAGACTCCACATATGCTCCCCAATCAGAATCACAGTAAGCTACAAGGTTTTTGCAGCTACCAGTAGGCATAAAGAGTCCAAGTCCTGGTGTGGATTTAATGTACCTTTCTACTCTTCTTGCAGCATCCATGTGAGAGGCTTTAGGTGCATGCATATATTGACTGAGCATCTGTACTACAAAGGCTATACCTGGCCTTGTCATGGTTAAGTACAGTAATCTACCTATCAACCTCTGATAACTGCCTTTATCTTCAAGTATTATATTTTCAGAAACATTAGTATTTACCTCCTGATCAAACTCAACAGAAGTGAGCTTATGATTGAACTCAAGAGGTGTACACACTGGTTTTCTACCTGCTAGGCCAAGTTCAGAAACCAGTTCTAAGGCATACTTTCTCTAACACATCAAGATACCCTTATGAGATCTTGAGAATTCAATTCCAAGAAAGTACTTCAGCTCTCCCAAATTCTTCATTTTGAATCTTTCCTGTAGCTCCTTTCTAACATGTCTGATAAGGTGTAGATTGCTGCTTGTGATCAACATGTCATCCACATATACTAGAACTGTCACCAGTTTTGCCCCTATATTCTTAGTAAAGAGGTAGTAATCATAATGTCTTTGTACAAACTCCATAGCTAAAAATGCTTCTGTCAGTTTGAGATTCCATTATCTAGGTGCTTGCTTCAGCCCATACAAGGACTTGTGTAATTTACACACCTTCTGATACTCCCCCTAGCTTGAAAAACTATCAGGAATGTGTATGTAGACCTCCTCCACTAAATCACCCTGTAAGAATGCATTATGCACATCCATCTGAAAAACATACAAACTAGAAGTAGCAGCTAGAGCAACTACAATTTTCACAATAACCATTTTGGCTACTGGGAGAATGTTTCTGTGTAGTCTAAACCTTCTTATTGGTTATAGTCTTTGGCTACCAATCTGGCCTTATATCTCTCCACCTCACCATTAGATCTATACTTGACTTTGAAAACCCATTTACACCTAATAGGAACTTTTCCTGGAGGCAGGTCTACTATAGACCAGGTGTTATTTTCCTCCAAAACTAAGATTTTAGCTTGCATATCTTCCACCCACTTAGGATCAGAACTGACTTCTATGAAGGAATGAGGTTCAACAGTGGCAGAGCAAATAGCTAGAGAAGCTTGATAAGCAGGTGAGAGCTGGTCATAAAACACATATTGTGAGACTAGATATTGACAAGTGGACTTCTTAGGTTGTACCACATAATCAGTTAGCCGCACAGGATGTTTAGAGGGTCTGGAAGACCTCCTAAGTGATGCAGGAGATTTTGAGTGTTCAGTGGACACCACTGCAGGCACAAATGTTGAGTGATCATCACTGATAGAGGTAGGAGAAGATGGATGAGTGGTAGGAGAAGTGTTGACAGAGGGTGGTTGTTGATCACTCTTATAGGTGGGTGATGAATCTGTGAATTCAAGAATACAGAATAGATAGGAAACACCAGACCTCATGTTCTTAAATGGAAAGATATCTTCCTTGAACACATCATCTGTGCTCACAAAGAAACTTTTGGAGTATAGATAATATAGAACATATACCTTTTGAGAATAGGAGTATCCGATCCCATGTGGATAGTTGGGACTGCTCTAGGACTGAACTTGTCTACCTTCTGCACTTTAATGGCATAACATAAGCTATCAAATACTATGAGATGTTGAGTGGATGGAACTTTCTAAAATAATGCTTCAAAAGGAGTCTTTCCCTGAAGAAGAACAGTGGGTAACCTGTTCAGTAGGTAAACTGCAGTAGACACATACTAACCCCAACAACTCAAAGGTACATAGACCCGAAACCTGAGTGCTCTAGCCATATCTAGAATTGATCTGTGCCTTCTCTCAACAGCTCCATTCTGCTGAGGTATGTACACACATGACCTTTGATGAAGAATTCCAAGACTTTGCAATAAGGAAGTCACTTGGTCATTCATTAATTCAGTGCTATTATCTGTTCTAAGACATGTAACTAAAGTTTTAAACTGATTTATAACCATTGCTAGGAAGTTTTTCAATGTTGCAATAGTATCAACTTTAGTGGTTAGAAGAAAGATCCAAATATACTTTGAGTAGTCTTCAACCAATGTCAAGAAATATCTTTTATTATCATGAGTAGAAATCCTATATGGACCCCAAACATCTGCATGCACAAGATCAAAGACAAAAGTAGAACATGAAGAACTAAGATGAAAAGGAATTCTTGACTGCTTTGCAAGGGAACACACAGTACAATGATCATCGGTTAGGTGCAAATCATGTAAGCTATGTAGTTTTTATACCACCTTTAGAGGAGCGTGTCCTAACCTCTTATGCCACAGAGAAAAGTTATTGCAAGATTGTATGTTACTCTCACTAGCACACTTATTTGTACTACTAACAATGGTATTTACAGTTTGTGGTAAATGTTGCTCAGAAGGTTTCCTGTCTTCAGCCTTGAGAATGTAGAGACCAAGTTATTTTTTACTAACCCCCAGGACCTTCCCACTGAAGAGTTCCCGAAAGTTACAGAAATCAGGAAAGAATGCCACTATACACCTTAATTATTTTGTGATCTTAGAGACTGAGAGTAGATTATACTTGAACTCTGGAATATGTAATATGTTCTGGACCTTCTCATCTCTGAAAAGGAATAGATCCCAGTGTGTGTAATAGAAGTCTTCTCACCAATAGGAAGATATACTTTGTTTTTATTTGTTTCTGATAATTCTTTATAGGAATCTAATAGGTTTAGACTATGCACCATGTGATTAGACGCTCATGTATCTATTATCCACTTATGATTCACTAAGGTAGACATAAAATCATGTATGTTACCTGCTGTTCCTGCAGTTGCTGAATTAGCTACAAGTTCAGCATCATTGCCTTTATTCAACATCTGCAGTATTTGATGGTATTGTTCTGGAGTGAAAAATTGAGCTGGGGAACTGAGAGTAGAGCTTTCCAAGGAGTTGCTTTGTGCCTCTGAAGCTTGACTGCCATAGTTGCTTACATTGTTGGACTGAGCATTGAAGTTTCCTCCTCTCTTCTTATTTTTGAAATCACTAGGATATCCATGTAGTTTGAAGCAATTTTCCTTGGTATGTCCTTTACACCTGCAGTACTCACAATAAACTGGTGACTTATTGAAGGAGCTTTTAGTCTTATAGCCCCCAGTATATCCAGTATTTGTAGGGCCTCCATTGTTGTTGAAACCTCCACTGTTGTTATAGTGCCTATTACTCATCATAGCAGCAGTTTCATTGACATCATTAGAACCATACACACCCTTTCCATTGATCATCTGACTTTCAACATTGATAATCATAGCATAAGCTTGATTCAGATTAGTAGAGGGTTAGTCATTAACACCTGATTCTTAGCATTTTCACATGAGTCATTAAGCCCAATGAGACCTTGATAGAGTTTTTGAAGCTGATAGTGCTCAATATGCTTCCTTGACTCAGGACAGCCACATGTAGGGGGAGGAGTTAATGTTTCATATTCATCCCAAAGTTCTCGTAGTCGAGAAAAATATACAGATACAAAGGATACTCCTTGTGTTTGTATGGCTATTTCCTTATGCACCTAAGCTGCCCTAGACACATTTACTTTATCAAATCTCTCCCTAAGATCTTCCCAAATAGTGTAGGCGTCAGATGCATAGATTACAGTACTAAGAAGATTTGGAGATACAATATTCATAATCTACACAAGCACTATTGCATTACATCTATCCCATAGTTCATGAAGGCTAACATCATAGTTACTTTTTTGCAGGTGCCTAGAACAAATCCTAATTTGTTTTTGCCATGCCGTACAATTTTCAATGATCTACTCCAGATTGAGTAATTCTTAGATCCTTGTAATTGAATAGAGATTAGGACCGAACCTTGCGTATTAGATGGATGTATGTATAGAGGATGATGATGATCAACATGATAAACTGATTGAGCTGCATTCAGTGATGTGAACTTAGTATCGGTATCATCTTCATGAACCGACATTGTTGAGAATTGAGAAAAAAACTTCGAGAATTTTGAATCGAAGAACAGAAATGTCACTATAGGCACATGCACCGACTGCTTGCCACCAATATGGATTCAATCAAGCAGATCACACATAGATCTCATACCCTAGCTTTGAGTAGGTGAAATTCAGATGAAAAATTAACTCAACCAGTTGCACAATGCAAATATTGAGGCAGAGACTAAGGCCTCATTTGTTTTTTTATAGATTAAGACGTCTGAATCTGAATACACATCTGAATATCAAGATGTGTATTAGGATTAAGACATCTGAATCTGAATACACATCTGAATATGTTAAGATGTGTATTAAGATCTGAATAGAAATAATTAAGACTGTTTGATTTTTAACATCTAAATGAATAAAATTTATCTTTATTTGAAAAATAATAAACATAAAATTCAAATGAAATACTATTAATCTAATATTCTATCAATAAAATATATAGTTTTTAAAAATATGATAGTCGTTGGTGGTGATGACTAACGGGTGAATGTCAACTAGAGACTATGGTTGGTGGTAGTTTTGATTGATGATGATGGTTCATGCTAGTAGCTAATAGTGATTGGTAGTGGTGGCGATTATGATTAAGGATGGTGGTGGTGGTGGTGATAGTTAATAATGGCGGGTGGTGGTAATAGTTGTGATTGAGGAAGGTGGTGGGTGGATGGTTGTAGGTTATAAGATAGTCAGTACCGGCTGTGGTTGTTGATGGTGATGGGGTGGTCAGTTGTGGTAGTTGAGGTGGATGAGTANTGTGATAGCATCTTAATGAAATTAAGTCTCTGTTATAGATCTTAATCATACAGACCTATTCAGATCCATTAAGTGGTTGTGAAGTAAAAAAATCAAACACACTTAATGATTAAGATCTGAATAATTAAGATTCAGACTTTAAAAACAAACGCACTTAATGTCTGAGATCTGAATGATTAAGATTCAGATCTCCATTAAGTGCAAACAAATGAGGCCTAAGTATTCCGTCACAGTGGAACAATCATACTCGATTAACCGAGTTCTGATACCATGTTGAAAGGCTTTGGCGGAAATGACCGAACAATAGACAGAAAAATGAAATGGAGGAGAAGAACAATTACTCCATTTTCTGAATATTGAAATGTACAACTCACTATTTACAGTACAAGCACTATTACTTATAGAGATTAACCACTAACTACTTCTTACTCTACTAGTAGTTATAACTAATTACCTACTAACTAACTGTACGCTTAAATATATGGGACCCACAGTCCTTAACATAATCTCTAGACTATTTTATCCCACTTGGTAGGTGGGATAAAATAATATCAAGTTTGATTGGATAAAGTGGGATAAGATTGGATATCTAGGATTAAGTCTGGACTAAGTTTATACTATGTTTGGTTGACGGTATAAATTTATCCCGATACACCACATATAGCGCCTATCGATATACCCTAGCTAGGCGCTAATAAGTTTATACTATCCCGGTATAAATGGTCACCAGGGTATATTGATGTAATGCTTCTTTATTTAGCTGCTTTCATTTGAGCAGTGCATATGAAAGAGATATCCTAATTAGATGATCAAAATCTTATCTCCGTTGAGGTC